TTCATTAATTTTCAGGATTTTTTCTTAGGTCACTCATACGGTTACCTGAATAGTGACTGAGCCACTACTGGTGGCCACCATTGTGCCAGGCAGCATATTTACCGAGGTGCCAACCACCTAAACACAATAATAATTAAATACTTCATCAGCCTATCTCAGAGATAGAGATTGCATCATGTGGGGGGAGCAGATTAGTCTGATCTTTGTATATTAAATATATACATAGCGTATTGTCAATTTTGTTTTATTGGAGAGCATTCCTAACATAACATGCAACTTTTACTTTTTGAACAACAAATTAATAAAATTAAAAAAAAAAAAAAAATACAAAAATGAAGTCACTACATACATGCTTTTCCCTATATTTAAAAACTTTTATGAAGCTCCAACAATGTAAAATGCTCATAAAATCAAGTATTTAGACAAACATTAAATAAATGTGATCTCCACTATTATTACCTGCATTAGCTGGTTGGCATTATAAGAATAATTATTAGGCAGCAACAACTGGTTACTGTTTTGAACATTTGTTCTATACATCATATTCCCTCTTATCATTGATGTTCCTGTCGGTACAGATAAAGCCTTATTCAATGCCGGCCTTCCTCTCCCCCTTGAGCCAGAGGTCATTTTAGACACTGGTGCAGGTTGAATTCGCGCCTGATTTGCCATTGCTTGCTGATAGGCTGAGGCCGCACTAGTTAATGATTGTTTAGGTCTTGAAGTCCTTGGGATTTTGGCTGGAGGCTCCCAGTCCAAAGGTGGTCCAAGATTGACCTCAGGTTTGAATTTCTTTGCACAAGCCAGTTGATGCCTGGCTAATTTTGCCTTACCATTATCTTCAAATGGACAATTTGGACATTGGTGATATGAGGCTGCCCGTTCTAGGCGTCCTTTAGTTTTGTGTTCAACTTCCATGTGAATTAGGATATCATGAGGACTTCGAATCTCAAATGGACAGAAATTACAACGATAGAAATAGTTTCGCATGTGTGGAGTTTCCATATGATGTGCAAGTGCCAATGAAGACTCAGTTTTAAAATTACATATCTCACAACGTTTCTGTTCAAAGTGATAAGGTTCATTGTTTTCTTTACTGAACTCAAGATTTTTAATTAATGAATTTATTGCCATTTGTGTAGCAGTACTATTAGTTGATGTTTTGTTTTCTCGATCTCTTTTCGTTTCTGCTGCTTGAGCAAGTCTGTTTGAACATATTCTTGTACTAAATTTATTCCTATGTTCATGAAAAATTTACCAATAGGGTTATCAAAATAACTATCACTTTTTTTATCGACAGGTTTGACGGTTGTTACACTATCTGGTGTTATAATATGCTTCTTAATAGCTTCTAAAGAATCTTCTTTAATGTCTTTAACTAAAACTTCTTTTTGAACTTTTTCTCCATCTACATCATCTTCATCTTCTGTATCTGAAGTATCATTTTCATCCCAAGATTCATCATCATCACCCTCTTTCCGCCGCTTCTTTTTAGATTTCTTTTTGATTTCAGGTTCTTTATTTTCATCATTATTCTGTTCATCATTTTCTTTTTCTTTTTCCTCCTTTGTCTCATTTAGTTTCTCTTGTTCTTCTTCTAATTTTCTGGCCTCTTCAACTTCTTTTCCCATTTTATCAACAAACTCTCGGAAAGGTTCTGTTGGTGGTTTCTCATAAACATAGGGTACAATAAAACTAGGAGCTTCTACAACAAACATGTCATCTGTAAGATTTGGTAAAACTAAGCTAGGTACAGATGCCACTGGCGCCACTGTTTGATTCACTTTCTGCACTGTTGTGTTATTTACTGGGGTGATAGTTGCCCCTCGAATATTTGCTGGATACATTCCTTGTGCAGGAACAGCTACTGGCATCACTGAAAATGATTGTTTTGTAGTTCCCATAGGAACAGGACCTCGTCCTGATAAAATGGAATTTGTATCAATTATCACTAAAGTAGGAGATTTCTTTCCAGATTTGTTATTAGCCGTATTGTTAGGAGTCATATTCTTTGTTGTAATTTCAACTAAACGTTTGGTGTCTTTAACAACAATAGGTACTGATTTATTTTTTTGCTTCGAAGATCTATTTGATGATGAATCCCCCAAAGGATCAGCCACAGCAACTTCCTCTAAGTCACTTTCTACATTTTTATGAAAATCTAAGTCTTGTTCAAAATCTTCAGAGTACTTTTTGCGAGTTATATTACGACTGCTACGTCTAGGAGTAGTCTCTGCAGGTTTCTCTTTGACTTCTTTTTCAGGAGTATCCAGATTTATGACACAGTCTTCCTTATCACTTTCAATTTCATGAACATCTGTAGAATCTTTGTTTCCATTAAGTTGTTTGTTATCATCAGTTTTATTGGGTTCAGCCTCAGTAACACATTCATCTTCACTGTCTGAATGGATGCTCATGGGTTCATCAACACTCACTCCATTTGACACCATATCCTCTTCTTCTTCGGTGTCTTCATCCAAGGCTTCAACTTCATCTTCACTGTCGGATGGTATCAATATTCCATCTTCCTGTTTAGCTGAAGTAGAACTTTGAGTATCATTGCTATTTTCTTTATTTTTGCCATTACTAAATTCTTGCTGTGAAGAACCATTACTGCTGATGCTATGGTTGCTAGCTTGACTATCTGTATTGTGATTTCTAGATAAATTCTCGCTTACTACAGAATCAGGTCTTGACATGCTTGCATCATTCTCATCATTATCACAAGATTTGCTGTCGTCCTTATCATCAAAGCTCTTATTACTATTTTCATTAGGATTGAAATCTATGTGCTCATTATTTAGATTATCTTGACTATTACTTTCTTCATCCTCACAATTTTCTTCCAAGTTTTTATCAACAGAAGTAGTTGGTGACGCACATTCACTAGTGTCCATAAGTTCTGCAGAGCCATTAAAAGCACCATTTACTTTATCACTTTCTACATCTGCAACAATATTGAGAGATATCACTTAATGTAACCTTATTCATACAATGATCATGAATATTAACAGTCGAATAAGAACATGATAAAAAAGAGACATTACACATACCATTATCCTCATTATCGATGTGCATTTCTGCATCAGATCCTATTTCAGCCATTCTGGTTCTTCAGATGTCTAAAATATTTAACACATTCATAAAGGTTAGTGAGTAACCAACTGAAAACAATCATACATAACTGTTATCAAAATCAAGTAACTGAATAGTGTATTCATATGCAGTTCATAATTAATACTTTAGTGTCTTGAAAAAGAATTGTGAAATAAATCAAAAAATACTTTTCAAAATGGCGCCGACGTTTTTTTTTTCATTACATTAGTAATTATGAAGCACCTAGTTACTTTACACTTTGTGGCAAAGTTGTATTTATAAATCATTTTGAAAAAAATATTTTAAGAGTTTTCAATATTACAACTATAGAATAATGCACGAGTTACATTAACGAATAAGTTTTGTGTGAAAAGGGAACCTCTCAGACACCTGGTGTCATCGTTTTGGGCGCCTATTTTGTTGCACACACCGACATACAAACTTAAACAAAAAATCATAAGGCATTTTTATATTGCGCAATTTAGGTAACAATTGTTTCAATTTCTTCATTATATTATAAATGAGGTTATGATAACAATATAATCATAAAATATAATTGCCACCTCATTCGCGAGCAGCGAACGCAAGTGACAGTTTAATTTTAAACAATAAATATCATAACACAAACTGAATCACCAAGTGCAATGAATGAAAATCATTTATTGAATAATTTCCTAAAGAATTTCGATCCGAATTAATTGTTACGAACATCTGCCTCGTACACGATGCCGCCAACATACCCTGTTTACAGATATCAACTGAAGCAGTTAAAGATCACAAAAGAGCCGGCACATTTGAATTCACCAAACACACGCCACATGAATCAAATCGATGTCTAATAATAATAATTATTATTATTGATAATAATAAATAACAGTAGATTAATATTAAAATTAATTTAACGGAGCACTACGTCACGAACCCTCACCAAAATCAGCAAGATGGCGACAGGCACGGGTCACGTGATCGTGCAGTGGCGTACTTGGGGCTTATATTCGGGCGGCTCCAAAGCCGGTACCAGGACATTGACATCATAAATTGTAGGGATAATCAAGATCATGTATTTCGCATATCGCAAGCGTCGTGCAGTCCAACAATTTGCCACTTGTCGCTTGAAAATTTTATTCGTAACAATTAAAAAGTGATAACTTGGTAATGCACAGACCGCTTTACTAGCAAATTTTCAGTATATCATAAAACCTCAAGTATATATAATTAGACCTTTTTCACTGGGAAGTCCTCGCTCCGGCGACAAAATACGTGTTAATTTTGGATTTCGCGAGTGGAAAGGGTTAAACAAACTAAAGTCCTACACCCGTCTGATCCATTAGCTCCATCATATTTTATCTAGTGTAAGCGCCAACTGAGTTAGTTTAATTACTAGGATGCTTTGTATAGGAGTCGCAGCTGTAGAAGGTTTCATTAATTTATGATGAATAACGGCCTATGAACCACAATTTGAAATTCGCTCGCGTACATCCTAAGAAATCTTGGATATAGTTTTTGCCCATTATCAAGAATCTACGAACTACTCTAGAAAGAAAAGTATAGAAAGAGTATCGTAAAAAAGTAAAAGAAAAGTATGGTCAACACATTTTGTATGTACGAAATTTATTCAATTTATGTATACTACAGTGGCAGTGCATAAAGTAACAAAAATTAGTGGAACTTATATCAAACTTTTAAATATTCTAATTCTTAATGGATCAGTGATTACTCCTCAGAGTCGAATATGATATGTGTACAACGGCCGAACATGATATGTATTTTATATTGGTTTCCCGCGTTATCCATGTATCGTTACATAATCCTGATCGATGGCGCTCACCGACGCACACCATCATATCAGTGCGGCACTCGCACCAATACCAATACAGGCAAACGAATTACTTTCGTCGGGGCCTCACATTGCGGGCCTGAAATGACGAGAGCTCGGTCTCACTGTGCGGGCCTCCCCTTATATTAGAAAATGGTTTGGCCCGATCCTCGTTTTGCCTATGTGGCTACGTCTACCGTAAAAGTCTTGGAAAAAAATGACGATAAACCAATTGTGGCCGGCTAATGTTAAATTATAAGAGTCCGATAGCCGCTCAAAGAATCTTTAAAAGGGCAGAAATCGCTGGGAATCAAAAAAATAACCGAACCAAAATGTTTGGAAAACTCAAACACAATTTCGGGCACTCGTGGCCAATTGCGATCACTACCATTAAATAAAAAAGTCAAACACGAGAATCAATCTGCCAAATAGAAAATCAATCGACCAAGCAAAAGACAACATTATCATATACGTATACATGGGGTCCATGGGGTATAACGCAATCGGACATAGATTACTACAATGTGCCCATCGGTACCCCATTAAAGATACAACATCCTATCAAACTCATCACATATGCTTTAATTGAAGATTGTCTACCTTCGACTATTTTAACATCTTCATAATATAAAAGTAAGCAAAAATTATGAGGGTATATAACGCCATGCATTTGAAATAATGTGAGGGAAGTCGAAAAACAAAACCAATTTGAATATAAAAATCAAATTAAATTAGAAACAAAGATTTAGCAACAGTTACTAATTATCGGAACGATTTAATAAAAATGAGAGAAAAATAGCGAACAATACATAAATAATTCTAAGTATATATATATATATATATATATATATATATATATGCATATATATATATATATATATATATATATATATATATATATATATACAGACTTTCTAAAATATCTATATATTGTAAGGCAAAGAAATTCCAAGAAAGAACAATGTATATAGAATCTACTCTGATCACAAGAGCACCCCATATTAAATATTGCAAAAACATATCAAAACTATATTATCTACAAAAATGCGACTAATATAAATATGCATAATTGAAGGTTGCTAAAATCAACTAGAAAATAATAAAATTTAACTAGAAATTCTGTCAAGATGCACATTTAGCCGAATTGAATGCATATATGTCTTGTAACGATTATTCAACTATTATGCATAAATATATATATATATATATATATATATACTCGTATATATATATATATATATATATATATATATATATATACCGTTCTTCAACAGGTATTCTTGATCAACGGCATTTCTTGATCAAGTGTACAACACAATTTATATTTATACAAGTCTTTTTTTTTAAATAAAATGATGCAATGTTAGCAAGATAACCAAGAGAAAAATTATGATTAATAAACTGACTAAAATGGAATTAATTTGTGTCATTTTTTGTTCCAAAGCCTTTTTTTCAAGTTGATAAAATTATTATAATTTATGAATTTACCTTATTTTTTAATTCTCATCGACGTCAAAGGATAGCACCGGCACAGTTCTCTTATCCGATTTTCGTTTCTTCTTATCCGATTTCGACTTTTCCTCCGGACCGACCCTTTTCTTCCCCTTTTCTTCTGGCTTTTCCAAATCCGGCTTTTTGGATGATTGAAAAATTACTCTTTGAGACAGATCGGCCGGTTTATTTTCTTCTTCTATAAAAAATAATAAAATACGACAAACAAATTATTTACGTATATTTTTTAAATGCAAACAAAATTTTAATTGCTCATTAAAAAAAACTTGGCCATGGATTGCTCAGTTTATATATGTTTCAATTTTTTTATGCTAACCCTTATACCCAACACGGTTCTTCAACCCCCTTATTAATTTTTCGCTTGATTCAAATTATGTGTAATTCTAACTAAAGCTTTTAACTTAATTCTTATACTTGAAAGTACATCAACAATGAAAATAAATATTCTATCCCGTCCACAATTGAAAATAAAATTATGGCGTATATTGGCTGTGTAGGCAATGACTGTGATGAACCGTATTCTTATTATAAGTTTATCTAGATGAATTACAATTATACTTGATTTCAAATAACCAAGTAATCATGAACATATATATTTAATTTGCCAAAATAATCCGCCATGCATTAGATTATTTTTTGAAGAATGAAGTTAGTCGATGTGAACAGGAAATGTTCCCATTCGCTTTTATATAATATATCGATTTTTCGCCATCGGCCTCTCTTCCTCATTTTTTATCCTTCGATAAAAATTTTTGCAAGCCGCAAACCTTTCAAATAAAATATTTATAGCTAAATTTTTCAAAAACGAATATAAAGATTAAGTTATTTTCTATCAATTGCAAGAAAGGCATAATATGATGATATAAAACGCTACAAAACGATATAACTAATACGAAATTCATCAAATGTATATCATATTATGATAGCGTAAAAAATAGATGTTTAGTTCTATTAAAGACAGCAATTAACAACTGTTTTCACAAAATATAATAATACAAATATAATAATACAAAATGTTTGTGATTGAATTATCATTTCTTTTATAATTTATTTATAAATGTTTCGAGAGTATAAAAAATTAAAAAAAAAGTTAACAATTTTAAGAGTAAGCAGTTGTTGAAACGGGGCGTCTCCAAAAATTGTCATTTGGCCATGCCCACGATTGCAACCCCCTTTTAATTTGAATTAAAGAAGAAAGATAACTGATCTAGAATGAAATCGCTGTGGAATATACTACGGCCAGATAATTTTTTTAGAGAAAATTGTGACTGTTTGAAAAAAACCCTCTTTTTACACTTTGTTGAGTTTCTCGAATTCTTAAAAATAGTAAACTGAAATTTGGGGATGATTAGTATATACCAGAGAGGAGTCTATAAATAAGATTCTCTGAAAATTTTAAGTAAATCGGTTCAGTAGAACTCGAGAAATTTTGGGCATCGCAGTAAAAAACATATTTTTGAGAAAAACACGTTTAAAGTATCGCAAGACAAAGAAAACAGAAGAGGATTATCATAGTCAAACAGCTGAATATCCGAAAATAATTTAAATTTTTAAAAATTCTTTCGTACACATATTCTTATATAAATAGTTAAATCTTGACATTATGAAAAAAAAGAAAAAAGTATTTTTGTGAATTTCTGCGTATGTGGTTCAAAATATAAAGTTTTACGTATTTTTATATCTAAATATTATATTTTGTAAAGATCTCATTACTATTTGGGTACGAATTGAGTATTTTCAATATATTAAATTGATTAAGTTTGTATTTGTATTATGCAACTTCGACTGTGCTCTACAAATGATAAAATTTACTCTGTAATTATGTAAGCAGAATATCATTAATGAAACAGTTTATATATACTGCCGATTTAAACATAACGTTTTGGTTTTGAATTGGATTCGAAATTTACCGCGTGCGATTATAAAGTTACAATCATGCAACACTATTCTCAAGTGGCCATATTTATACACCTGACCGTGCATAGCAAATGTCAGGCGAAAGCATTTTCAACCAAAAAGGATCAATGTTCGAAATGTTCCTACAATACAATAGGTTAAACAAATCCGGCGATAAGTTTTTATAATTAGAATCCCCAACAAGCCGGAGTTTCTCCAGTTGTCATGGAGTCTCCGAGCCCCCTTAGAGACACGCGCAATGTTATCGTTCCGGGTAACGTGCGCGACGCCCGACCTCTTCATCTGCTCGGCCCAACAAATAACATTAATCACGTACAAAAAATACAAAAAGAAACTCACCCGTGAGCTTTTCCCGGCATATTTTTCAATGGACACTTGAAAAGCACCGATATTTTTTAATTTCATAAAACGTTATGGTTTGTGGAATTTTACCAACAAATATGGCCGTAGAGACCGTACATAAGTCCCAGCATGTCGCACAAACACGCGCACAAATTTCGTATATACGGCGTGTGTATATATTCGGTTTATATAGAAAAACTAATACATGGCCGGGACGATAGTCCAACACAGATTCGAAAATGTGTGTCTGTATATAACGTATCTTCTATATACATTCTGACACACACCAACGTTCATTGCACCACCACATCCCAACTTTGTGCTCATTTATGTGTATATATATACCTTATATTCTATATATAAGCAACGAAACAAGTGTATATATATATTGACGTATATAAAGGATTCACACATGCCTATAACATTATATATATATATATATATATATATATATATATATATATATATATAGTTTAGTATAGAAGAAAGCACACTTACATAAATATACATATAAAACTCATACTCACATAAAAACAAAAATATTATATTTAATGGATATATAACAAAGGTATATATATCTACTATAAATACTATATAAATATGTATTTATAATTATATATATATATATATATATATATATATATATATATATGTATATATATATATATATATATACAATAGATAAGTCCTGGATTTTTTCAATCAAACAATCAATATATATATGTACATATATATATGTGTGTGTGTGAATATGTATGTGTAATGAAAAAAAAGTACACTTTTGACTATTTATTTTTTGGTATCAACATTATTAATTATTTGTCCATTAAATTGAGTTGAATTTTGCGTTTAGTTTGAAAAATGAATAACGTTAAAATCGTTTCAAATCCTCTATTAAACCAGCAAATAGTCTAAAAGGATAACATCTATTCTGATTGAACATCTAATATGCATTCTAAAAAAAACCATCATCAGTGTCTAATTTTTAACTTGTATAATATATTTTTGATCAAAGAAAAAACAATGGTTTGTTCAATTTACACAAAACAAGATTTTTTCCATGTATAACTATAATATTAAGTATCAACAATATTTTATTATTTATAATATACATATTTGACCATTTCCACCCCGTCACCATCACCAATAATATAGCAGAGAATTATGTTGTTAGAAATAAACCTTTTATTATTATATATTATGTTTGAATATTAATATATAATATAAATAACATGATGATGAGGACAAGAAATCAGAAATATTCGTAAACTAGGTATTACAATGTTGATAGATTGTTCAACTATCCTGAATCATAAAATAAAATACAACACGTAGATTTACTACATGGATTACAACTACTTGCAAAAGAAGTAGTATTTTTTAAATAATTTACAAATTACTTGTAAAACAAACTCCAAACAAATAACATTTCTTTATGAGAAGAGCCTTTTTTTAAAAAAAATATTATTTTATTTTCATTTTGTTCAATTTAATATTTTTTAAAAATTGATACAAATAACTTGATGTTATATCAATTGGTGTTCATATATTTTTGTGTGTTTTTTCTTTAATTTATTTGTATGCACTGAAGTTGAGCCAAATCAAAATTCGATGATATTACAATAAGAACATTTTTCTACAATAAAATCGTTTTAATTATTGGATGGATGCCCAAGAACAACTTTATCATATATATATATATATATATATATATATATATATATATATATATATATATACATATATAAATATATATATATATATATATATATATATATATATATATAATGAGTAGTACCATATATACATAAATAAATAAATAGATAAATATATATATATATATATATATATAATTAAACTTTTATCATAGATGAAATTAATGCTGACTAACCTTTTTGAAGCCTCTCTTTCTCAATAGCTGCTTGTTCTGCTGTTAAATCTCCTTGTTTCAGTACCACAACCTGAGGTGCTTCATCAAAATCTGGATCTTGCTCAGAATCGTCGTACTCTAATGCCTCCCTCTGAAAGTAAAGCAAATAATTTGCTGTTCAAAATCGTGCTAATGGTGAACACTGATGATCAAATATTTAAGTAATAATACTTAATGTGGCAAGTTAAAATCTGATTTGTTATTGGATCTATGTCAGATTGTATCGAGAACCTATATTTGAGAAATATTGAAATATATTGGCATATAACTTACAGGATGGTTTCAATAAATTGACTAACTATCTATGAAAAATTATATGCAAAGAGAGCACTAGTAGTAATGTAATATTGCGCAAATACCACAATAATACCTACAAATCTTATTAATATAATAATTAATTATTACTTAATATTACAATTTATTATGACAAATTAAAGTTATAACTTGTTATAACAGATATATGTTTTGCATAAGATTTATAATCATAACTCTAATTGATATAACTTACTTTGGTTTCGACAGTCGGTCCTTCTTTATATCCAATTTGAGCTTTAAGTTTTTTCAAAAAACTAGGTTCTTCGGGTTTAATGTATGTAATACTATTCTTTTTCGACATTTCAAATATTTAACAATGTCATTTCAAATATAAACAATACTAACATCACGAGCGAAACTTTCAACGAGAGTTTTAACCTCTTAATTTAGTTAATTGAAAAATTACAAAACACACTAAAACTCACTCTTGATAACAAATTAATAATAAACGCAACATAAAGCTTAAACAATAAAAAGTATTGAGTAATCTATTATAAAATTAAATTAATTTTAAACGTACACATTACTATCAGAAAGCCACAAAGTTTGATTTGACAGAGAGGTTACAGTGTCGCCAACTAGCATGATAAAAGACATCGTACCAACATTAAAAGAGAATTGGCGGTTAATTTTAAAAGTATACGAAAGAACCTTGTTCAAACATTAAGTAAATCTTCATTACACATGTTTCTTATATAAAGATGTAGAAACTTACCTTAATTACAAAATAAATTTATTAAAATTACACATGAATGGTTCTAATGAAGGATGTAAATAAAACTCAACCAATTATAATTAAACTGTATAGTGCCTTTATTATACCTTGTTCATTATAAAAACTTCACTTCCTATTATCCAATTTTATTATAATACATTTAAGGCATTTTAACATATTTTGTTTGCAGTCAGCAAGTTTTGCAAAAATAAATTAAATTTGTTGAATTATGTATGAATTAATGTTAATTTTGATCACTATTTTAAGTAAAACTAAAGCAACAGTGATACATGATTAAAACATAGATGATATTTCAGACTAGCATTTTGAGCATAAATAACAGTATACATATCTGATAAAATAAGAAAAATAATCAAATTATAAGTGTAGAAAATATTGTAAAATATCCTAAAAACCATTATACGCAATTTAATGGTATATTAATTCGATTCGATTAATTCGATTAAGCAATAATGAAAAAAAAAAGATGCATTTCAAAATCTCTTTGGTTGTCGGACAATTATACACGTTCAACAATAAATTTAACACTAATTTTCTCTGGAATAAGGCATATTATTAAAATGTTCTTAATATTAAATTACTAGAATCTAAATTAATTATCCTAATAGCAAAATTAAAATAATGTGACTTCACGGGTGATATAGTTAGAGAGATTGCAGCATAAGTTAATAAAAAGCATTCACAGGCTAGTTAAATAATAGAGTATCTTTAAATTAAAATGAATGTGAAAAGAGTAATTAGAATGAGTATCTTCAAATGCATCAAACACAAGCATAATATTTATCAAGTTTGAAATTGTTGATGCATTTTTTCCCCATCAAACAAAAGTTTAATGTTTAGGCCTATCTAGTAAACTTATTATTAAAATATTTGTTAAGTCATAATTGTTACACCATGAATAAACAAATAAAAATGAAGGACATATTGCACATTGTTAATTTCAAACCTTTTTGCTTTCTCATAATAAACTAAATAAATAATTTGACTAACAATAGAAATGAAACAGCAGCATTTAGCACATCTGAAGTGAAAAAGGTTTGAAACTACAAATAAATTAAGCAAATACATCAAGTATTTTTTCAATGTACACAAAAGAAATGTGTAATATATCACTTTCACCATCTGTATCTTGCGAAAATATATCTCTAACAGCTACTAATATATTTTAAAAGATCTTAAAATTATTGAGCAATACATCCCCTTCTTTCATTTCAAAATATACAGATCACTGGTTGTGTTTCTTTCGCCACTTTTCTATGTACAGTACTACATCTTCATTGCAAATCTTCATAAGAATGGGTTGTTGGACATTACTTGTGGAGACTATAGAAAAGAATTAATTAGAATAATGGCAAATAAAATCAATGATACATTGTAAATTAGAAATATTGATTTTTAAAAAAGTCTTACCGAGAATGGATTAGCAGTAGCCCAGCTCTGCCCATTACCAAAATCGCTCTTCCCATTTTGCAAAATGTTGTCAAAATTGGACATACCAAATGGTGACTGATTAAACACATTTGCTACATTAACATTGTTACTAGGAGGAGAGCTATTTATCCATTTTTGATCGATATCAAATAGGTTTTGAGTATTTGCATTGTTCATATTGTGATTCATTTTGTTTGTTAGTTCAACTTTGAAAGGATTTACATTTTCTACAGCAGATTGAGGGCTGGTCCAAATATTTTGGACAGATGTCTGTTTCAAACTGAATGGATTTGTAACAGTGGACGATTTTGGGTCAAATGCTAAAAACAAAAATAATATGAATACATAATTATAACAAATAACATAACATAATGTAATATAATATTTACCAGAATGATTAAATTCACTTTCCCATGGTCTGTTACTCTGTACTTCCTTAGGCGAATTCCAAATTCCATTACTACTAGATACCTCTTGTTTGTTTTGCTCATTTTTCATTGCCAGTTCTAGTTCTTTTAAAGCAGCATACTTATCTTCAGGCGGGGGAGGATTGTTCATGTTTAATGTATTTAATGGAGATATGCCATTATTTATCACAGGAAAATTAGTTTGAAAAGTTGGTTGTGGTTGCTGCTGGTTCACTGATTTTATGTTGTTGAAAGATTGGCTACAACCAAATGCATCAGTGTGTCCATTGAATGAATCATTGAAGTTCTTTAAATTATTCAGGGAAGACGATGTGGACTGAGTTAAAGCTAAATAATAAAATTTTGGAATCAATTACTGAAACAAAATTCTATAGTAAACTTTTATAGTCTAGAACAGTGATTTACAACCTTCTGGTCATTGTGTCCAATGAATTTTTATAAAAATCTTATTTTATGAATACCCAACTAATGTAATTTATATAGGGGGCTACAAAATAATAAACAATACTATGTAAAACTATTATATATCAAAATATACAAACATTTTTTTTATAAAAATTCGAATTTTTTGGGTTATAAGCGAAGTTGATCAACAAAAGCTTATTTAAACGAAATTATTATCATGCTAATTGTAGTTATTATAAACAATGCACTGCCATTGATAATCAACAATGAAATAATACAACAAACACTGATAAACATTTAAAAACAAAAGCACATTTAAAAAAACAAACGGAAAAAACATTTCAACTCACTCGCAGCATTGAAAATAGCGTTATTATCAAAATTGGCAAACGACATCTGACCATTGACATTGTTGTTTTGATTATTTTGTTTGCAATTGTTGTTTGTCGGTATAGTTTGAACCGAATTGAAAATATCAGCTGATGAAAAGTCTGCTTCAAAATCTGTGCTGAAGAAATTATCGGTTTGTCTATAAAAAATAAGAAACAAGTAAGTATGATGAAATAAAAGGGCTGCATATATAAAAGAAATGAACCTACTTGGGCCTTTCGACAGGTTTACTTTCATTATGACTAATTAATATTCCGTTAGTCGGACTCTTCACAGCATTCTCCTCAATATAAAATCTTTTCTTTTCATATTTATCCGACAAATATTCCTTGAGCTGATGCTCTTCTTTCAGTTCTGGAACTGAAACAGAATCAAATTAGTCTCTCAAATCAAGTTGTTAAACCAATAATTTCTCTAAATGTGTATATACTATTATTTGTATTCTGGCACAGGCCCATCCAAGTGGCTGCACATTTCTCATTGCCTTTAAGTCTAATCTGTTCGATTTCTTCTGATGTAAAAGTAGCCATCGAAATTGATTTTACGCGATGCGGGGGCGTCAATCCGCGCCTGGAAGGAAGAAAGTTTAAATTAAAAATAGGAAGTTGTCTTAAAAGTAACACGAATCCAGGACGGTAATTCAAGTTTTGTGCAATTAAATGACAATTGGGCTTACAACAACAGCAGCAGTATCACAAAACAAGAACTATCAGGATCTCGTAAGCGTTTCTATTCAGCTCTGATACAAAACTGCAACTAATTGTCCAAATACAATGACCACAAATGGCACAATCTTCTCTAAGCAGCGTGAACGACCGATGCAGACTGACTGATTACCATATCAGAGAAATGGACGTCATAATTTCACACAAATTACGCATGGAAATACTATTTGAAAAATATTTATACATAAACTCTTATCAGTACGCGTTCTGGTTTGATTTGGCGACTCGGCACTGGTTCAATTTGGTTTTACGCCTATTGTTGGAATTTATGTCGAAATGTAGATATATATATATATATTAATTTAATTGATTGTATATATATATATATATATATTGTATTGTATATATAAACTAAATGTTGAAGGCACTTAACACAAAGCATGGAAGCATGCGAAGTAAAGATTGAACCGTGGACAATTTTCCAATCCAGGATCTGCCTTGGAACAGAGGACTGATGATGATAATAATAAATATAATATAAACCAGTATTATACAACTGAGTAGTAACTAGTATAACTAAACCTAAACTATGTACTCATTAAGACTGAAACTAAATACGTTAAAACCAATATGACCTAATTATGAAAACACCTTTTAAAGGAACTACTGTATAAAATTTTGAATTCAAAATCAATAAAAAAACACTATCTTTCAAATAATTATTATAACGTATACTGAAAAGTACAATACTATAATTACACATATCCTTTACCGTTACCATTTTCCATTACGAGCAAAATCTTCCTGCAATTGTATTAATATTATCTCTGTACTTTCGTACTTAACGAACCCATTAAACTACTCTTATCAATTAACTGTGGGCGTCTGTTTTAATCGGAAACCCATTTCTATGAATTAAAAAAAAAATCACAATAAAAACAAGAATTACGATGCATTAGAACACGCGCGTGCTGATAACACAGCGATAAATAAATTCGCATTAGCAAAAATATTATAGTCATAGTTCAAATCTATTAAAATTAATAAATTGATCAAGGCGGTATTTGTATCAAATTGAACTGTATTGAACTGCAGAAAAAATTATGAGCTTTCCCGTGATTTAGCGGTTTGAGCTAGGGGCTTTAAGGGCTTTGATTCGAAAGTTCCAACTCAAGTAAAAATGGCCCTTACCAGACCTTGCTGCATCAAAAAGTAACGTTACTTAAGGTCAATGGCATATTAAGCTTTCTTCCTATCCGATCAGATGCCCTTTTAATAGACAAAATTTTACATTTGCAAATTGCTGAAACTTTTCGTACTGTAATTAAACTTTTAGAAAATAAAAATAATCATTAATCAATAAGAAATAAATCGTCATTCTATGTATCTCGATGACTAGTGTACCAGGACTAGTGCTATCAGTTTTGCGAGACTATTACTATAATTAATTATAGAATTATAGGCCTCTATGGCCTATGAGTTAATCCAGCACTACTTAAGTCAGCACTTTTAGAGACATAATATAATAAAATATATCAAATATAGTTAAGGCCAACCAGGGCCGGTCCTGCCTTGCATGCGATGCATGCAAAAAATGCGGGCGCACGCCTTAGGGGGCGCCAAAATGACATTCGGAAATGAAATTTATCATATATTATTCACATTTTTTTTAATATAAAATCTAGAACACTTAATAGATTATAATAAACAATCTAACTTAATGGATACGTAGACACAAAAAGCATATTCAGTTTGCAATGTGATATCAGTAGAAACAATTAATTACTTTGCAAATTAGTAAATTATTGTTCTGCTTATTGTTTAATGCACTTATTAAATTTTTCTCGTTTGAAGTTAATGCGGATTTGAAAAAGAAATTATCTAGAGTTCAAGCCCCTAAGCGCAAACCTACGAAAGTTTAAATTATTGGGGATTATTGACGAAAAACTACGAGCTGATTTAGTTTGAACGAAATTTGTTAAAAAAAAAATAGATAAAAATTATAATAAAGAAACTTGGAAAATCGGAAGTCCGTGCATAGAAAATGGTTTATTAAGACCGAGAAACTGAATAGTAACTTTTGTTTTTGTTGAAAATGTTTCGCATCTGATGAACTTTGAACGTTGAAGACATACTTGGTTAGATTTATGAAAATGGAAGGAAAATGTACTAGAAACAAAAATCTTGAGCTTTTTTTATACCTATTGGTGTCCATACTAATTTTAATTATTAACTAAGCAGAATAATAGATTCAAATATAATTGTGATTTGTTTTCACTATAGTTAAGGAAATATGTAATTTCTTTGCATTTTTTAAAAAAATAAGTTAAAAATTTAACTTTAAAACGACAATCTGATAAAGCAAATATGAATACAATTCGGTCCTTACGATATCAATAAGGAGAAGTTTACGATGCAAATTTGGATATTGTAAATAATGAAAAAAAAAATTAAAATAAAATTTAAAAAATCCAACATAAAAAATAGTGTTCTGTTTAAAAATGAAATAAGTAAAATGTTTCAAAATCCAAATATTAATATTACAAATATGTTAAAAATACTTGAAAATGTAAAATATGTGATTATGGTCAACCCGCAAATCGCTTCGATTTTCTAAATAAAATTACAATCAATGTGCTTTTAGAGTTAATAGAGAGTAGAGTCAATAAGCTTTTAGATTATATTTAATTTTTTGTGTACTAAATCCAGAATGATTAACCCCTTCGACTCGGATGCCGAAAATTCGCGAGTGGAATTTGTTAAAAATCAATTTAAAGAATTTACGTAAATATTTATATAATTTTAATGATAAATGTTAAAAAAGTTAAAATTATTGGGGGGGGGGGGCGCTAGAACAAATCTTGCATGCGGGCGCTGAGGACCCCAGGACCGGCCCTGAGGCCAACCGTTGGGTTGCCTTCTAAAAATAAAATCCACGTTTGTGAAAAGTCAATACAACTGGCTCATAGATCCCTATATGACTAGTTTACGTTCTGAATGCTGTTAAAAATAACAAAATTAAAACTCGATTTTTTTAATGAAGTTGGTTAACAATATACCTAATTAGAAATTTAGGGAAGGGGGTAAAACAAGTGTTTAAAATATCACAATACTTTCAATTTATCCTGGATTATTTCCAAACGACTATTTTTTTCTTCAATTTCGGCTTTGTATTTTTTTAATAAATTTATCATTTATTACTATTTTTAAGTTGTTATTGTTTATTGTTATTTAGTTTATTCTTTTCTACCTTCCCGTAGGGTAATTTACAGTAATAGCAAAAAAATCAAAAATGAAAATTTTTATATATCTTTACGTTTCAAAAGTTTCTGAATATTTTGGCATTTAGAAAAATGAATGTATGTGTGTGTGTGTGGATACAAATTTTCAATGATGATTTCGAAAACACGGATCAACCAATTTGAATAATTTAAAAAACATTCGATTCAATTCGTATTCGTATTATACGGGGCAAAAAGTGCCAAAAATGGTACTTCAGTTTTTGAAAAAACGGAGCGTCCAATTTTAATGATTCAAAAAACATTTTACTTGTATTGACGAAACGAACAATTAAAATTTTTGGAAAAGCAGCTCTAGCGTTTTCGGAGATCCATTAAAAAAAGTATATGGTATAAATTTTGTGTACATTTCTATTTGTTCCATGCTAATGTTAGACTACGACACGGCGCTTCGATATTTCTACTCTAAAAATCGGCTATGCAGCATGATTGCTTTCAAAAAAGTTAAAAATTCACAAAAAAATTAGAATATAAAAAAAAATAATTTTTCATAAAAGTCATTTTTTTCAAAATATTTCAAAATTTTCAAAAATCTAATTTAATAAAAAAATTTAGTGTTTGGTACGGAAAGTTCAAGCAATATGCCTTAAGGCACGATACCATGCACCACTAGTTTGTATTTGAAAATGTTATAATATGAATTATAAAACACATAACGTCATCTAAAATCCAATCCATTTTGTACAACGTCTCATGTTTTTAAAATGAGAAAAATTCTGCGTCATGTAACTTGGCAAGATTTATAAACACATACATGCATTATATATATATATATATATATATATATATATATATATAAATTGTTTACTAGCTCTAATTATAGATTTTAAAATGCTAATCAAAATCTGCAATATGCAAATTATAACTAGAAAATATTTATGACTGGTGAACTAACAAAAACATAAATGAAAGCAATTCGAAAATTATAATATTTACTAATAAATACAATTGTTCCGTATGTCGAAGAACAAATGCAAACAACATTTACAGTTTATTTAAATGAATTTGCATAACTGGATGACGTGATTCGATCTTGGTTAATAAACAAATTAATATAAAAGGCGTACTCAATCGCTACACAAAATATTAAGCGAATATGTACTAAAAATGAATCATTATTATTACATAAGTTACTTAATATAAAAAAAATTACTGTCATTTATTTAACTCGTGCGGCATTTATATATTTCTTACAAAAATATCTTAAATGACAAACATTAAATTTGCAAACACGGTACAAAAAAACTTGCCAATTTAATTAAAGTCTTTTACATCAATTAGTCGTGGCCGAAATTTGCAAAAAAACTATATGAAAAACATGTAGATCTAAAAATATGTTTAATTTAATAATTACTGATACCAAGGTTGCACAGGTGTTTTTTTTTGATGATCTTACAAAATTCGAGCACACAGCAGAGAGATTTCTAAATAAAGTAATTAGAAACTTTAAATGGATCGGAACAAATAATTTTATACATAACGAGTGTTATGCCAATTTCAAATCAAGTTTTTCAATTAATAATGTTGCAAAATAATCGTCATTAAATTCGTTTGTGGCAAAACAAGTGATTTATTAACGCATAAAAACAATTTTAATTAATTTACA